CCGCCGCGGGGCGGATGGGCTCCGCGACGTGCCGAACCTCCCGTCGCTGCGGGGCCACATGCTTCAGCGCCAGGTGGGTACGTCACCCAGGGCTGCAGGACTGCGCCCACGGCCGGAGGAACCAGCGGGCATGGCGACCTGGGGGCCTGTCTCTGCGCCGCCCGGCTGCCACCAGGAGGCGCGTGGGCCCCTGCTCCAGAGCAGAAGGGCAGGGCTTGCCCCCAGCTGCGGCCCAGCCGGCGAACCAGGGGCGAGAGCGCAAGAGAATGTGTGACAAAAAACAAAGGCATAGTCTTGGAGTCACTCTGTGCTCAGGAAACATTCCCTTTTATGTAAAAGGTCTCACCGTCCCTGTCTGAACCTGCATGATCCTGCATGCTGTTTTATACTACGCTACTTGATTGCACTCCGTTTGATTCACTGGCTGATGACGGCCCTAGGTGAGGGCTAGCCTCCAGTCTATTTCGTGTGTGCTGCACGGATGTAGCAATGCGTGAGATTGTATGTTACTAAATAAAACACCTCGTGGCCTGAAAAGAACTTTGCCTCAATTGTCAGAGATGTCCTTACTGAGGAGGAGAGCAGACAGTCGATTGTGAATACCACACACTCAAATTGTGTGCACTGTGAATACCACACCCATACATTTAAAGGCTGTTCCATAGTATTTTCGTAGAAATAATTCAGGTTGGAAAAGACCTTTGAGATCATCAGCTCCGACCTCTTGGCAGATGGGAAACTTGAAATTACTTGCTAAATAAGACGCTGATGAATCAGTAACATGCCCAGAAATTTAGCTACTATCAGTTCTAGTAATGATGGTTAGTTTGGACAGTACAAGCAATAGAAATTGATGGAATAGAAGATAACATTCATTTTTCTGAATGTACATACTAGCTATAAAATTTCTGGTTAAATTTGAAGTTCTAAGCTCAAGGTAGTTCAAAACCAGTTACATAATCAAATAGCGAAATTGTGGTGTTCCTGGTTTTGGTCTCTAGCCCTCAGTTTGCAGGCACGTTTGGGTAAATCTAAGACATCTAGGAATGATACAAGTTCAATAAACAAAGTCTCCAAGGCCCCCATTCAGCATATTATATATGTTCGTCAGACATCTGTGCCCATTCACACTTAACAGAGCACCTCCACCCTTCCAATTGTCATTAGGAAACTACAGAAATCATATAAAAAGATTAAAGACAAAGCTTTTAGACCTCTTTTTAAAGATACATATTTTGACCAAGACAACTACAACTCCTGGTTTTCAGCTGCTTTTATATCATCTGATTTTTTTCAAAGAGATGCCAAGAGACTAGAGAGAACTCACACTCACAACCAGAACACTCTTCCTTGAGCACCATTAACAGTCCTTTAAAATACAAGTTTGAAAGCTTGTCAATAAATTCTCTAAACTAAGACCAGCATACTTGATTTAAAAAGGAAGAGAGCACATGGGAAAACTTTTCCTCCAAGAAAACAGACAGACAGGAGAGAAAGTTAGCAAAGAAGAAAGGTTAAGCACATTTTTCTAGCAGTTAAACCCCTGCTCTTTTCTACAGAAAAATATAATGGCATGTGTATGATTCAAGCTTGCCATTCAAACATAATAATTCCTGTAAATTTAGTTTTACTGAAATAGTAATCAAGACACTGGCTGCTAGTGAGCAAAGCAATACATTGGTACTGTCAAGCCAAGAGAGGTGATGCTTGTCTCGCTGTCATAGCTGTACCAGCCATTACTGCCTTAACGTTCCCAGCTGTTCAGCTGAATTAGGATACAAGCTGAAGAATGCAAATATGTACGCACTGTAGCTAGTAACATTCTGACTTTTCAGAAAACTAATACTAGATCTAGCATGGCAGACAAAGCATTAACCAGTACAGAATCTGAGAAAAAGCCAATTGTTTTGAATCAAAGGAACAGTTTTCCCAATAATCCAAGCAAACTTCTAAGGCCTACCATCCGATATTCAAAACACTGATTAACCTTCACTTCTCTGCAACATCCCCCTCTGGTCTGCCCTCGTGAGACCCCACCCGTAGTGCTGCGTCCAGCTCTGGGGCCCCCAGCACAGGACAGACATGGATCTGCTCGAGTGGGTCCAGAGGAGGGAAGAAATTCTTCACCGTGAGGGTGGTGAGACACTGGCACAGGTTGCGCAGAGAGGCTGTGGCTGCCCCCTCCCTGGCAGTGCTCAAGGCCAAGCTGGATGGGGCTGGGAGCAACCTGGTCTGGTGGAAGGTGTCCCAGCCCAGGGCAGGGGGTTGGAACTGGATGAGCTTTAAGGTCCCTTCCAACCCAAACCATTCTGTGGTTCTATGTCAGAAAACCTTTCTACTGAAGACTTCAGAAACGAAAACGAAAGGCATGAAGCAGTCAGCGGTGGAGCTCATGTTAGAACGCAAGACTGCCTGACACCCAAATGTGAGTTTTTTATTCTAGGTAACACAAGTTATTCTAACAGGACTCTAGAAAAGAAAAATATTCTTGAACAAGATGTTTTGGGGAAGGCAATGGAAACAAAAATTTTATTAAAAACCAGGCACTGACTGTTCTTTCTCAGCTGAGGGAAGAAATACAAAGTCAAGCAAGTATAAAACAAGGCTCTAAGACTCCAAGGCCTAGTTTGAAAGCAAAAAAGAACACACACCTCCCTCGCCCCCCTGAAGAAAGCCCAAAACATTACTCGGTCAGGAAGCTATAGGTATTGGGGTTCCACAATGTTCATTTGTAATTCCTCTGTCTTCTTCAGTCAGAACAAGGATTACGACTCATGCCCTTCTACAGACCAAAAAAGGACAAAAAGAGACCGTGGATTTAAGGGACATTGCGCGTGGCATGTATTTACATTACCACGTGCATTAACACAGTGACAACGGTGAACAGAACTGGCAGAAGCAGGTCACACGCCAGGCAGTCCAAGGGTTTCACCCACAGCCCCAGCAAACAGCACTCACGCCCATTCGAACAGGCGGTTGAACTGCGCCCTGACTGCCTGGCGACTGCTCCTTTCTGAACTGCCACTGAAAGGCCAGGAGAATTAGATGCATCACAGTAAGAACTAAATGTTAAATGCAAGACTCCCAAGATATTATTAAAAAAACTCCTGTATACACAGGATCTGAAGTATTAAAATCGCCAAGAAAATCTGGTTTGCAAAACAGTCTTTTATTGTATCCGTGCCACACATACTAGTGAAAAATAACACTCCTAAAAAAGGAAAAGAAAGAGAATGCTACCTTTCCACAACATTTCTTTTAAATAAAACTTCAAGTACTCTTACGTTAGTACAAAAAAAATTCTGATCTATCTGCCCCAACAGGCCACCACAACACACAGTAGATAAAACACAGTGGTTACAAATGTCTTTTTTGTTATTTCTGTGGCAAGGCAAATGGAGGGAAATGTTTCTATGAAAAAATACTGTGTGCGTAGGAAATCGTCACAATTTTATTCCACATGGATACAAATGATTATACTTGAATTTGAGGCCGTGGTGGCTTGAAATTATATAACAAAATAGAAAAATGGAAAACTAATATCCCCTACACCCTGTTTTAAAGGCAGGCACTACCAAGATTAAGGAGACTCCACAGTGTTGGTAGAGGATAATTACTGTACAAGCCATATAGCTATAATTACCTTAAGACTAAAATAAAATGCTACCGTCCTCCTAAGGCATAAACAATAATGTCTGCAAACAATATGTACACATCATACATATTTAAAACAAGACTTAATATAAACAATAATGAACAGTATATACATGTTTCAATTTTTCTTCACTGTCTTGAAATACAATTTAACTACACAAGAGATGCAGCAACATATATATAAATGTACTTGTAACTCTACAGTAAAGTTTAATTTTTAGTGCTTTTACAGCACATCAGTGTAAACAGTTTTACTTGGCTTTGTTTTATATTTTAAAACATTCCTTGTTGTATTTTCAAGATTTAAAGCAATTTTCTAATTCTTCCTTTTCACAGAAAACGAAGATTCTGAATGCTGTATAATCATAAATAATTCATAAAATTAAATACATTCACTAAAAAATAAACTACAAAGTAAAAAAAATGAAAAATAGATATTTATTGAAAGGGAAAAGAGAACCATTTCCCCGAGTAGAGCTCTGGTGGTTGAATATTCAGTGCGTTTTGATATATTTTAAATTGCTATTGCACTATAACACCCCTTTGAAATTCTTTGGGTGTGCTTCCCTGTTCTACCTAAATTAGTTTGTTAAAACACACAAACCAATAACCAAGGGGCCACGGTTGTTGTAGGAGTGAAGCCTTTAGAACTAGTATCACAACTCCGTGATATTTTAAAGGAAAAAAACAGTCATTAGTTACGCATGTGCCTTGCACGTTCATATAAATACAGTTCACATTGCTGGTCTCATCAGTCCTCATTTAATGAAAAAAAGAAAAAGAAAAGAGTTCTGGCAACTTCAGCTCACTTTGAAAATCTCTGTCCATTTTTTTTCAAAATACTTCCTCATGTTGTGGCCAGCCCTGCCTATGTCAGAATCATCTTCATTAAAGGTTTCACAGTTGTCAAAAACAAGCCTGACATCTAGCGAAAATGCTTCAAGATTAGGGTACCTGAAAGAAGAAAAAGGTGAATGATTTTTGGCACATGGAGAATCAAAGGGGAAAACCACTTCAACTACATGAGAAACAACTACCTTAACATCAGGTGTGAATTTACAACCAGCCACAGAATATTCAATGAATGCTTTACAAGTTAATTATACTTTCAATTTTTTAATTCTGATTTAATATTAACAAGAAAATGAACATCAGTGGAAGGAAATGCTCTCTTGTCATTGTATTTGTTATTTTCCTCAAAGACTCTGCAAGGCAGAATTTCAAGCCTGTACTGGAAAACCAACTCTTTAAAAATTAACTTCCCCCTTCCCTTCAGTGGCTTTCTAGTTAAAACGCTTGTCTCTTTTCCATTTACTCATCTATTCTTGGGCTCAAGTCCTTTCGAAGTAAGTGCTGAGTACAGATGCATTTACTTAAAACAGGAGCAGCCGGGTACAAAAAAGGGCTGCCCAGACCAATCCTGTAACATTGTCTGTAATATTCTTTTTATTAGCCTGATCATACATGGCCTGAATAGCTCTCCAATAAGGCAGTAAAAGTCAGAAGTCTACTGATACCAATGAGCACGTGTGGAGTGTTTAGATCTGAGATTCAAGGTAGAAAAAGCCTGAAGAGGCTAAAAAGCCCCTTGTGTTATCCCAGGAAACTTGCTTTGTGTGGAGCTGAGAGACACTGAAGAGGGTCAATGTTTACAGATGACCAAGTTTTCTTTGGTGGGGGCGAGTCACTAGAGCACAGGGATGTAACAAGGAGGGAAGGGGAACAGAGCCATATAGTGTCGTCCTCTTTTTTAGGAAGTTGTGCAGTCTCCTTCTAGGACTATAAAATGATTAACCACCACTACTGGAATGTTACCTAGCTTCCCACAACAGGGGTACCAATTCACTCCACAGCTACAACATAATTTACAGGCACTCCATTAGCTTAATGCCCACACAAGCGGTTCCTGCTTACATGTGACAACACTAAGATGTCTCACTGAGAAAAGATGAGGAAAAAAGTTTTTCCTGTTGATTGATTCTGGCAGTTTTATTGTTTTTCACCCAGTTCCACAGGTTCTCCCACCTGACACACTATTTCACTTTGATACAGCAAAGACAGAAGTATACAAGTTCAGAATTTTTGTTTTGACTGTAAAAGCAATCTCAGAGGTGCCAGAGCAGGCAGATCAAAACAGTTTAACTGATATTTTAAAAAGTACTGTACTTCAATGTTTAAATACTTTTAAAATGTAAAGTAAAATTTACAATAGGTTTACTTACTGTCCACTGCTCAGCTTGTCTCTAATGGTGGAAAAGTCCATAGGCTTTTTAATAACTTTCTTATAACCAGGAACAAGTTTCAAGTTTACAGGAAGTAAGAAAGGCCAGGCATCTTCATGAGTTTCCAATTCCGAGAGAATCATGCTGAATAAAGTGAGGTATTAAATCAGTATTTTTAAGCTGTTCATATATTTACAGAGGTTTTTCACCGTTCCAGAAATGCATCAGGTACTGCCAACATATTCACTTTATAAAAGGGAAGCACTTTATTCTGTGCTCTTTGCAAGGCTGAGAACAATAAAGGCAGACATCTTAATTGAGCATTTAAAATAGCATGAAGTTCTCTCCAGGCAACCTATGCAAGGTGAAATTCTAGTGATCCACATTCTAAAAGAAAAACACAGCCCTGCAACTTCAATACTTCCAACCTCAATGTGAACCATTTGCAAATCAGTAAAAGGGGTGCTAATACTGGCTTCCCAAAACTGTGACAAGGCTAAACCATGTCACTTTTGACTGACCAGCAATACTACGAAAGAAGACGCATTCCTATTACTGTCTCCTCCTCTGTAATGCAAGGCCTTTCGGACAGAGTGGGGAATCACCTTTGCTACCCTTGAGAAAGCTGTTGGTACCACTGCTGTCAGGGTTCTCTCTTCCCGTCCTTGGAAGGGTACGGAGGAGTAGATTTCACAGACCACATTCTAACATTAGGTGCTTTCCTCTCAGGCTTCATTACCAAATGCAACAGCTACCCCCAGCATGACACATTAAATCCTTTACACGTACACTCAAATTATCACAACCTGTATGGGATACATGACAAAGAATAGAGTTCTTGTTCCCCAGAACACAGATAAAAAGAACCAGGCACTACTTGTTTCGACAAGACTTACCCAAGTTTAGAATTTGTCACTTTACCTGCATATAGCCAGGTCCTTGGAGTCATCTCTTTTAGGCTTCTTCATAGCAGTGGTATTTTCTTGCTTTAATTGGCTCACAGAAACATTTTCATCCATTTTTCTTTTTTTAGGGTCTGTTTTTCCTCTTTTTAAAGAGGTGCTTGTAGTCGCAGAATCTTCATCCTCTGTATCTCCTGCTAATTTCCTGCTTCTCTTTTGTTCATTAATTTTTTTCCCTTTGACTTGAAGTTTTTTTACTTTTAGAGTTTGACCACTTGCCTACAATAGAGAGAACTGAAATAAGCAATAACCGAGACATTACAGAAACCTCTGTTACTACTGATAGACAGCAATGAAGATGAGACAAACAGAAGCACCAAAACAACTGAAATATTTAATATCAGAGATTATTTGCTTTTTGCTCTTCTCTAAAGGCAAGTAAGGCTGTAAACTAGTGATTTAGGTTCTCAACTTGTGACAATATAAAAGCACCTGACCTTCAGACTGGCAAATCAGTACCTCCTAACAAACCAGGCTGGCACAGATATAGACAAGTATTTGTCTATTCCTCAAAGACTGATGTAACCACAGCTGGAATAGTAGACTCAATTTCAAGCAACCATTGTTATTTGCAAGATATGTAAAACTGGAAAAAGAGTTTTTAAAAAGTCAGGGGCAGGATTAAAATTATTTAAAGATTAAAAGCTAGATATGAAAGATATAGATGGCTTGACTACAAGACAACTACAGGAGAACATAGAAGGAGTATGACAATACAAGAATGCCACAAACTGGGGAGAAAAGGAACACTATTTAATACAGAACTATTTATAGACAGTTTAATGAAACTAAGGGGTATATTTAAGATGAAATAGTAAGTTATTATGCGTATTGGCAGCATCATAACGCAGCACAGTTTGAAGTCCATTCCTGTTAGAATACGAACTTTGCAGAATCTCAAGTCAAGCACATGACGTCATTGAGAAGACTCACTGACAGAATGAAAAGATAGAAAACTACTTTCATAAAGACAGACAGCCAGCATCAAAAGTATTAAACTCTGCCTGTTCTACTAAGACTACTTTAGATAGTTTGAACCATTTTTAAACTATAACTTTTATACTGTCCTATCAAAATACTATTTGGTTTTAAAGTTGTCTAAACCTGTATTTTTATAATATATTTTTTCAGAATTAAAAATACTCAGATTTTCCTACCTACTACAAAATCACTACAACACAATTCCTTTATTCCATGAATGTCATAAATAACCTTCTTGAGCATTTGGCACTGATTGTAACTACCATGGTGAAAAACGTAAGCCAGTTTGTACAAATCAAATGATGAATACATGCATGAATGCGGAAAAATATATGCTGTATATAGAATTCCCTTTGCTTAACACAGAACACTAGAAGGATTTGTAAATAATTGTACTGTCTTAACACTACTCTATATGATGATTATGTCCTTGGTCCAAGGACAGAAAGTCAAGTATGGTCTGTTCACATGGCAATTGAAGAGGAATGTTGATTTTCAGCCACTTAGTTAAAAACACAATGTAAGGCAATGAGAAAAGATCAACTGTCACCACCTAAGGCCTGACTTTGAGATGTTCTGTGAATGTTAATTCTGAGTAGGTGGGAATGGCACCTGCCATTTTTATTGTTTTAGACAAGAAAAAAAATTAAAGCTGAGTTAAATTAGGACGGCATAGTTTATACCTAGTCTTCAACAAAACTGTTTCTATGTTTTGCAGAATTTTGAATCAATATTCAACATGTTCTAAAGTTCTACTGGAATTTCACCTTTAACTTCTGCTACCTTTAGATCTCCAGCTTTTCAGCCAAATTTGGGATGGAAAAAAACCTGAGAAAGAAAAGTCTTCCTGTACTAAGTCCAGTAGCTGGGGGCAGGGGTTGACATAACAGGGTGCAGAACATCATGAGAAGTTATAGCATGACAGGGTAATTTCTATCTTGATAACAAGTTGTGATATAACCATGATAATGACAAAAGTTACCTCTTATAAACTACTACACAATTGATTCTCAACAGTAACCTGTTTTTATTACTTCTATTGCACGTAATCATTTAAAAAAGTTTGTCTTCCTTATTACTTTGTGAAAGATGCACAGAAAAAAAAGGATCACATTGACAATACCCAAAGAAAATACAAACCTGAGTATTTACTGTAAAGCTACTTCTTCAGTTACAGTATTCACACGTAATGGTAGAAAACAAGGTCAGCAAAAAACACATTTAATTTTAGGACTAACTAGGGATGTGAAAGTTGTGGACTTTTAAACAATACTAACTGCTAATTCAGTCACTTGAATAGAACTATCCTAAAGTTTTATTTAGACTGTTTTTCTTGGGAGGGGAAAAAACCCCAAACCTCACATAGGAAACATACATAGCCTCTCTCTCAAAGGTACTGTATATCAAAAAAGTAAAACTAAAATATGCTGTACAAAAATGACAAAAAATATTTACTAAGTATTTTCTCAAATTTTTCTTTTCAAACAGAATCTAAGACATTGGTCTGTCAACACTTAACAATGAAGCTCGAAAAACAAATACTGAAGAAAATTCTAGAAGAGAAATAAAAAACTGCAGTATTGAATCAGCAAGAAAATTCTGTACTTACATTAAAGAAAAATAGTTTAAAATAAATAAAACTGTAACCTTTACTGCCACTAAAATCCATGTTAAATAAAACCATTAATTATTTAATGGCACCCTGACATAAAACATATAGACCAATATTTTCATTGAAAAAAGCACTGGTAGACCTGTAACTCTACCATGTGTAAAAAGGCCGCTACAAGTCCCTTCACCTTTATGGTTAGTATTACCTTTGCTATGCAAGCAGGACAAAACCAGTCACCATCTGGTATGGTAGTGATCTTGGGTCTGTGGCAGTAGGTATGACAGCCTTTATCGCAGCCATCACAAAGGAGCAGCAGTTCCTCATTATCTCCCTTTCGACAAATTTGGCAGTACTATAATACATGGAAAATGGCTTTAATTCAATTTTTAAAATTTGAAGCACAGGAAGTACTTGAATTACCCTTCCCCTCCAAACACACAAATTCACTCTCAAAATTATTTTCCTTTCATTTTACCATGATCAGAGTCTACTAATGATCACATTTGTAAAAGAATATATGCAGTATGGGAGGAACTAATATAAAGGCTACACTTGGGAACACATTTGAAAAGTCATTCATTGTAAGATAGGTGTCCTACAGCACAGAAAGCTATGAATGCTTTTTATATTTCATTAATGTCCACAAGAAGTAAAGGTATCTTATACCCATGAAAATCACTTGGCCCACACATACTACCTTAGTAATCTTCTCTTCATTTATGCTCCTACTGCATATGTAAGTTAGTATTTCATAAAAATAATTTAGATTTTATGACAGTATTTTCAAATAATAATCAGTAAGGATCTGATCCAAAACCCGCCACGAACAAATTCAGTAAGGCAACACAAATAATCCTAGCACTTCCTAAAATTCACACTAACTAAAAATACCTAAATGTACTGTCAATTTTCTTACATACATTGTGTGATTCTGATACTCTCCTATATCTGGACTTCTTTTTCAGGAACTTAAAAGACCTCCACGTGTTTTCACCAAATACCGACATTTACTGTGTAATTATACACATAGACCATTTCAATCAAATTGAGAAAGATACTATGCATTTTTTTCTGGATAATAAATTACTACATCTTGAAATATTCAAATGCCTTTTCAGATGCTCCTACTAAAATTCGTAGACTTTTTGCTCTAAAGATATAGCTTTAAATTTATAGCTATATAAACTCAATCTGACACAGCACATGACACTACATTGGGTGGGAGTGTTAACCTGCCCGAGGGCAGGAAAGCTCTGCAGAGGGACCTGGACAGGCTGGAACGATGGGCTGAGGCCAATGCCATGAGGTTCAACAGTCCAAGTGCCGGGTCCTGCCCTTGGGTCACACCAACCCCATGCAGTGCTACAGGCTGGGGAGGAGTGGCTGGAAAGCGCCCAGCGGGAAAGGAGCTGGGGGTGCTGGTCGGCAGTCGGCTGAAGGTGAGCTGGCTGTGTGCCCGGGGGGGCAAGGCGGCCAACAGCATCCTGGCCTGTGTCAGCCATGGTGTGGCCAGCAGGAGCAGGGAGGTGATCGTGCCCCTGGACTGGGCAACTGGTGAGGCTGCCCCTCGAATGCTGGGTGCAGTTTTGGGCCCCTCACTGCAAGAGGGCATTGAGGTGCTGGAGCGTGTCCAAAGAAGGGGAGCAGAGCTGATGAGGGGTCTGGAGAACAGGTCTGATGGGGAGCGGCTGAGGGAACTGGGGTTGTTCAGCCTGGAGAAGAAGAGGCTGAGGGGAGACCTCACCGCTCTCTGCAACTGCCTGAGAGGGGGTTGTGGTGAGGTGGGGGTCAGTCTCTTCTCCAAAGTAACAAGCGACAGGACGAGAGGAAATGGCCTCAAGTTGTGTCAGGGGAGCTTTAGATTGGACATGAGGGAAAATTTCTTCACTGAAAGAGTGGTCAAACATTGGAACAGACTTGATGATCTTAGAGGTCTTTTCCAACCTTAATAATTCTATGATTCTATAGTTTTTATTTAAATCATCCTTTAATTGTCCAGACATAATTAGAAACTGCGTAGGACTGGCAGAAATTAAAAAAATTGGGTAAAAGACCACTAATAAAAGAATCACCTTTGCTATCCACTACATAGCACTGGCCATACTTAATGTGATACTTAATCCCATCATAATCACTATTGCTGTAGTAATAGTTTTGTTTTCAGAAACTGGAGGTTCAAAGGTCCATGCAAATTTTGACACATGCATTTTGCATGCTGCCTTTAACACAGATCTACTTGTTAAGTCTACAAGGAAACAGGTATTTCAGGCTATTTGCTCACACACTTGCCCAATTTGTATGTTCAGTTGTGAGAAGTGTGCATGCAAAGAAGCCACACGTTTGGAGCATCTCAACTTTCTGAAAAATGAAGTCCTTAAATTGGGATATGTGATGCTGAACCTCCACAAAGCTTATGTCACGGATGAGATCAGAAATATTCATCAGATAGAGTATCTTCCATCAGATAGAGCCAGAAATTACTCTTTTTTTATCTAAATGTTAACAACACAGAGTAATTACCGTCTTAAATAAAGCAACCCATTACAGGGGCTTTTTATCTTAGAAACGTCAGGATGCCGAATTTGGCAAGCAAGAGACAATCTTTTCCATTAGGCTTATATTTATCTGTGCACAATGGACAGTTTAACTGTATTTAAAGTTTTACACGCAGTAGTAAGAAATGCATTATTAACCATGGTATTTTAAACTGCTTAAAGTGGGAAAATAAGACAGAGGAAAAATAGTTTAGCTATAGTATTTTAAAAAAAAAAATTAAAACCACTTACAACTTTCATAATAGATTTTTCCCATGCTATTGATTTCTGTAACTGCTGAATGCACAGAGCTACCTGTGCAGCACTGCGCGCTTCTGACAATGCCCTTCTCCATACCCTTAGCCCTGGAGCAATATCCTCTTCAGTTCTGCATTGAAATATATAGAAATTAAGTAGGTCACATCCGTGTTTGCTTATGTTTAAATGTGGAACAATCATTATCACATTGAAAGCCAAGCAATGACAAAACATACACAGCCAATAAGTATAAGGTTTAAGCAACTAAATTTCATGTAGTGCACAGACTGTGGCTACGTGCCTCAAAGCTTAGTCACAACCAGTTAAATGTAAGATAACTTTGCAAGATTATCAACAAACATAACAAAAAATATCTTTACAAAGCACCATGCAGAATAACATGATCCATATGGATCACAGACATACAAGAAAGTACATAGATAACAGGCAATAAGAAAATAGGCTCCAATTAGCAAAGAAGCACAATAATTTTTCAAGTTAATCTCAATAACCTACCCGTCACCATCACCACTAATGGATGGTGCAGGAGCAGGGACAGTAACTGTGCCCACATTATCCAGTTTGATCTGAATGGTGGTACTTAAGGGGCTCTTCAGATACCTTCGCTCTATGTTCCGCTCCAAGTCAGCAAGCCTGGTTACAGCTATATCTAGAGGGTTGTCACTCTTCCGCTCTAGAGAGCTGGTATTGCCTTCTCCACCTCCAGCACAATCTCCATCGTGCTTCTTGTGCAATCTAGTAATTGACTTATGTTCACGATATACCAAGTCGTCTCTCTCTGATGCCGGTTCAGGACACAGCCAACCCTATGTTAATAGAAAGGTTTGTGCATTTATTGGTTGCTGTTAACTTAGTGCGTAACAGAGGAACTGTTTTATGGAATCAAACTAAGTAACTGAAGCGCTGTTTCCAGTAGATCTTGGTTACTTGTAATCCATCTGTAGAGACAGTTTCCAAAATATCCAGAGAACTAAAATAATTAATCAAAAAACACAAGCATTACCAGACTTTCTGAAGGGACCTTTCTGCAACAGTCTGCTTTCTTATCTCCTTTTGCAGTACCCTGTTCTACCGGCCGAA